TGTTAGTCCATGCTAATCAATAAATTTACACCACTTTACACAAGAAAGAAGTAAGCATATCACCTTTCTTCACTCTGTGCATAAAGGATGTGGTCAAATCCAAAGACAAAAACTCATCTCCAGACTCTCCCATAGGTAAAACCAACAGCACCTGTCTCCAAAACCACCTTCCAACAAGAACAAAGGGAAAAAAAAAAAAATCTCTGTTCCAAGTACAGTCCTGAAAGTGTACTATGAATCAGTATGGTTTCAAAAGTAGAAGTAGCCACTAATGTGGGAAAGAAAACAAAACACCCTTGTAGATTCTTTTAGGTTGTCCCTTTCGGTGGTAGGGTAAGCAATACCTGGAAAGAAAATAAGCTAACTCTCCCCTAGATGAAAAGACTCAGCCATTAAAAATAAGTAGAAATCTCACTGTGTTTTGACAGAAACTCACACAGTAAGAGTGGAAGAACTATGATGTGCCCAGAAGTGGGGCTACAAAGGAACCTTCTTTTCAAAGGAATTAGCTATTTTGTCATTGTAGAACTTTCAGAAAAAGGTATGTACTATTAGGGTAGACAATTTATGAAATTCTGCCTAAGTAAACTTGTGGGATTGATTTGCATCCATAGACAATGATCATCCATGCAAAAAATCTGACTCACAACGTGCATCTGAATTGTCTGACTAAATTATCTCAGTTACCAAAATCGTGTGCAGAAACATAGTAAATCTGCACACAATTTTGGTAACTGAGATAATTACTCATTTGCACAAGAGTCACTTAATTTTGTTATGCAGTCCCAGAAGCTGCACACAGACTAGATTTTTAAATATATATGTTAATAGATGTGCAATGGCACCCCCAAAATTTAAAAGAAAAGGTCTAAACCAATTCACCTGGATGTACTCTCAGTAGCACTGTTTCATTCCCAAACAAGTTGCCCAACATATCTGTATATTACATTACTAGTGATAAGGGGTCTTAACTTACTAAAAAAAGATGTTAAGAAGTACAGTCCCTTTCAAAAGGTGCCATACTCAGACATTCCGTTATTTCTACAGTTCATCCAAGCATCATAATTTAACCTTTAAAAGTAACTACTCGTAGTGGTCAGTTACATGAGGATATTGGCAAGTAAAGAATCTTCCCATCACCACTGGAAGAGAGGGTCAAATCCTGCCGTTCTTACTGAGGCAAAATCCCCATTGAACCTGACAGGAGTTTTGCTCAAGTAAGACTAAGGACAGCAGGATTTGACTCACAGGATCATAGCATCTGCCAAAGCAGTTGCACAGAACGAGGTTTATTCTTAGTAAGTATAATCCAATAAGAATATGTCTGTAGGTGCGTGATAGGCCTAATTTGCCCATCATCTCTCCACTGCTCTATGTTGTTCTTGGATTTTACCCTGATAGCTGTATACTTAAACCTGTTTTAAATTACCATCAAATGATTTGCAAAAATCAGCCATCTATTAAAGCTGATTTTTTAAGCACTGACAAAGCAAAATTACATGGGACTATTTTAAAGTGGTTGCTTAACACAAAGTACTCTCCACTGGAGACAATTTTTAGAATACATTGCATTGATTTTATTTTAAAAGGTTATCTAGCTCAGAAGTCCATGACATCATCTGTTATTCTTTCTTGGTGGTAACAGTGTACTGTAACAGTAATGTATATAATACATGTACATAAAACTGTATTTTTGCATATACATTAACAGCAATAGAAGTGCATAGCAGGCAAACAAGATTTAAGGAATTGCCTCTTCCTGTAACATCGATGAACTGGGATCCAGGTGGGGTAGTACTGTTTCTTGGAAACATTTACTTATAGTTACCTGTTACTCAGTATCTTCAAAATGTAACTGGCGAATTAAAACACTCAACATATACTTGCAGTGGGGGGCAGGGGTTCTCACATGCTTTAAAAAATAAAAAAAGGCGGGGGGGGAGGTGGATTCTCCTTTTCTATATGCCATTATTTGCTCCAGTGTAGTTACAGTAACTTCAGTAGACATACTCAGTATTTATACTTGCTTAATTGAGACGTTACCCTTTTGTTTGTCCTGATGAAATGAAGACTGAGTAAAAATAGGGAAAAGAAGGCACGTTGTGTGTTTCTGCCACAACTGGGACAGACTAACAGTGGATAAGGAATGGAGGAAAGAAATCTTTGAGAACTCACGATGTTAAAGTGTTAAGGAAAAAGAGAGGGTATCTTCGGACGATTATTCTGTTAGTTACCTGCTGAAGGAAACTGAATGCTGGGGTACATTTTGCTGTACTACACATAGTTAGAAATATTCCAGAGAAGATGAACTCTATGTAGATATACCATGATCCCATAGCTTAGAAACAGACTGTCAGGAAGAGCAAGGATACATGAAAATTGCCTTTACAATAACTGATTAGAACACTCACCGACCTCTCTTCTTTCCTGATTGCCCTACGATTGTTGCATGCGTTTGCAGAGAGATACATATTGACTTCATCAGTCTTACCTTCTTTCAGCATGCCAACTTTTAGACACTTCATGAAGCGGCAGGCTTGGCAGGACTTGCGTCTGCGCTTTGTGATTTCACATTCATTCGTTGCTGGGCAGCTGTATTCTATGTTACCTGTAATAGAAAGTACAGGAAAAGAGAGGTATTCAGAATCACTGACTAACCAACACAATGGATATATATGAAAGTACTCATACAATTGCTGTTGTGTTTAATTTAGGAATAAATCAAGAGTAAACGGTCCTATAGAAAGGGAACACATTTCAAGGAAAAATGAAAAGCCAAGTTAAAGTATGAGCTTTTTAACCTTTTCTTTTTTAATCTAGACAGCTATATGCAAAAAAAAAAAATACACAAAACCACAATTAATGTGAGTCTGTGTCTGGGTCCATACATGTTCCCTAGCAAAATCCTTCATGTAGGCTATTCAC